GGGGGGGGGGAAACAGGAGCCAACTCTGATTCCCTGCTGGTGAGGGCATTGAAGAATCACATCACAAAGAGACGCCTCAAGTGCTCAGCCCTTCTTTCTCTGTATCCTGCCCCTAAGCTAATTTATTATGCAAGCAGGGTTATCACCAACATAAATTGAGTACATTACCTAACTACTCATTTTCTGAACTTGAAATTCTGCCATGATGATCTCCTTGTGTAAACCTTTTATCATATGGCTTTGTTTCTTTGCACCGGAGTGAGGAGATCTGTTGTTCTAGCTGTCTAGTGCTAGGACTGGGACCTTGTTCTATCATGAGGTCACTTACCATGAAACATTTCACTCAGAATTGGAATTGATTTCATGCCTAAAGACTCCAAGGTATCAGCTGTAACAATTAACTGATGCTTCTTTTGGTTACTCGATAAACTGTAAAGTTCTAAAAGCCGTAGGACTATGAATATGTTTTTGATAAGAGAAGGATTAACTAGCTATCAGATCTACAATGCATCACGCAGGCCACGTTACTGCATCACAGAGGAAGAGAATCAGTCCTTTAATCAAACCTCAAAGGTGTGCTCTGAGGATAAACAATGATAAAGAATCAGAACACATACTCCAGTTTGTCAGATTTCAGGGACCTCCACTGCCTACTAAAAATACAGTGAAGGCAAATTGATTACAATCTGATAAATACAAAGCATTTCCTTATTTAGGAAAAACTGGTAATGGACTGGGCCTAACTGTATTTTATCAATTCAAGAGATATCATTTTCATTACGGTTCTCCAGATTGATTTTTCACATAGCAGGCCTTTACCCAAATGAAATTAATGAATAAAACGAGCCTAGTCTTCAATAAATCCATTCATGTGGTTTTGTTCAATTTCATACATCAATTTATGACAGTGACACTGAGTCAGACTCTCTCAGTACTGAAGACAGAGATGACAGGTAACCTCAAACCTGAGTTTGTTGCTATTTCAATACCTTCAGCAGAATTCCAACCACTTCTTTGAATTCTCACGTTTATACGAGACAGACCCAGGCTTTGTTCTCAACTCTACCTGGATCCCCAAAGATATAACTTTTTATAACGTCTGCTATCTGCTCACTGGTCTACAGACCACTCACAGAAGTCTATCATAGCTGGTGAGCAATAGAAAACCACAGAAGAACTTCATAGGAGAAAGAAGCACAGGACTTGCCCAGGACCACCCCATAAGATGATCAAAGCACCCTAACAGATCTGAAATTCCATGAGTCCATTAACTATTAATTTTCATGGTGTACACCCTTGCCTTATGTGTTACAGGTTTCTACTTGCTTTATTTCTTGCCATGAAAGAATACTGTAAGGAAGATATAAGACTCTGTTTTTCCTCTATCTCCAGCTCCAGCAGAATGAAATGCAAAGGCTAAGTAGTCAGACACCAAACTAGCCTAAGTGGAAGTGAATTTTAAAGCCCACAGGCTCCTTGAGGATCATCTGGTCGCTGATATTCGGGCTGGTTGCTTCAGCAGGGCTCTTTTAATCTATGAAATGGGAAGGATTTGTCAAAATGACCTCTAACTGTAAAATCTTTAAAAAGCTGGCCCGAACAGCTAAATGCAAAACAACATCTTAAAGAGACACATATCAGCAAAGAAGGTTGACAGAATTGCGGGGCTTGGATGTCACAATCTCTGTAACTGAGATAAGCTAGAGAGAATCACTGAGGATAAAATAACCTGGGATACAGCTCTGACCTAGCCCAGGGACACAGACCTCTCCATCAGACTCTCTGGGCTGCAGATTCTCCATCTGTAAAGTGAGGGGATTTAAACAGCCAACTTCTAGGGCCTTATTAGCACTGACAAACATGACACTTTAACCTACCTGCTTTATTTTAAACATAGGAAATCAAAACAGACCAACTTGCCCCATGTCAGCTAGCTATCAGGTCTCCCAATTTCTAATACAGTGTTCTTTCTACTTCACTAGACTTCCCTCCATTAAATAGAATCTGTTTCAAATACAACTCCACTAAGACAAACAAGATGAGTTTATGCCAATGGTTCTTATCATTAAATGCCATTCACTACAAAACTGAAACCAAATGGTTCCCTATAAAGCTGACCTCGTTTTATGACAAAGCTACCATTGAATGATGTCAGAGTTTTTACCCAAAACACCTGGCCTCAACCAATTCTTGTCTCTGATAAAGGCAAGTCACAATTGTTCATTCATTACTACAGGGGAGCCCAGCGAGTTCTGAAGAACATGACAGACGCCATCAAATCTACAGAAAAAGAGCATCACGTCCCTTCTAACTTCCCCCTAAAAATTACAATGAATAACCTGATGAGGAGAACTACGCTAGAAAAAAATGCTCATGAGTCTTTCTGAAAATCTGAGAGTCCACAGTTCCCAACCTTTTAACTTGCTCAGGAGCCCCAGTCATGTGGAAGGCTTGCGATGGGCCTTCCTCAAGGAACAACTCAGACTTAAATCCCCCACCACCACCCACAACTCAAGATGAGGTTATTTATTGTCTTATTTCAAGGTGGTTCATTTCATCACCAAGTTTTAACGGGACCAGAAAAGCAATTACTCTTTCTACTGCGCACGTAGCTCGTAATCTAGGTAGGCCACCCTTCGGTGTATGCGTAAAAGAATCGTGCAAACAAAAAAAATTCTCCCGTGTCCTATTACGTCTTTTATAAATCCTAAGATCATTGCCCAAGTTACCCAAAAAGGTTACACCAGTAAACAATGACAGGGTGACTCTTCTTTCGAAACGAGAGTCTCTCATCTTCAGTGTAATTGTTCTGATGAATTTGGGACCTTTTTTCAGTTCCCTGCACCGTGCAGGACCCCTTCAGCCAACGTTTAGTCTTATGAATCTTCAGACGAATAATCGTAAATGTTCACTCACCCTTTTGGCCAGCAGGTATCACATCCGTCCGTTCATGGTTGACAGCAAATCAGACAAGGGATTGAAGCCCTCACCATTGCCCAAATGTTTCGTTCGGAAACTGGAATTGTCAGCAAAAGCTCCTGGGACACTGCAATACAAAAAAAAATTTTTTTTTTTTTTACACATAGCTAAGATGTAACTTCTAAAACCACCACTTCCTTAAACCTGAAAACAGCACGACAGACATAGAATCTAGAGGTAGGGGAAAACACCTTTCAAACGAGGGTATGTCAATATATCAAGTGTGATGTTGTAAAATATGAACCGGAAATAATGTTTTGAAAGATACAGTTACCAATTACTTGAACATATACCCTGAAAGGTTGTTGTTTATTGCAGACTTTGTGCCAAATATTTTACGTATTTTGGCATTACAAAAATATTTTTTGTCCAATTATCAAGTGCCCAGGTAACAATAAGCTGCTTTAGCTCAAATCTGACATGGATAAATGTACGGATTCCTATTAAGCAACTCTCTTTTCCGTAAGAAGGAAGACTCAGAGATATTTCCATCAAGAGAAAACATACTACGTAACGTGTAGACATCCAAGTGGAGAAGCCTGAATTCTGGACCCAGTATTGTCATCAGTCACTTGTGTGGCTCCAGGAAAAGCCATTTAATGCCTCAGGATCCCAGTTCTTTAATCTGCAAGGTCAGGTCATTAACTGATGCTCTCCACGTCCCTTCTTCCTCTCAGCATCTTTGTCTTTTTGGTTAAAGCACACTTATTCCAAATAACCTAAACTATTAGCTTCCGGATTAAAAAGAAGGTTTTTTTTTAACACAAATCACTCCTATGCTGATCTGCCATCAACACCACAGCTGAGCTGTGGGCAGAGGGTCGTGCACCTGAGCAGAAGAATTCTCACCCTGGCACTAGTGCCAAGCCTTAGCGCACCTGCACCCTCGGCAGCTGACAACATTCACTGGGTGCCCAAGGAAGGATTCCATTCCTCTCCCAAGAGTACGGCTCCAACTCCTATGGAAAAGTGCCCACATGTACTATAGATGAGTGTTTCTCAGACTTTCGTACGCGGAAGAATAACTTGAAGAGCTTTTTAAAATACAGATTCCTGGGTCCCATCCCCACAGACACTGATTCATTGGTCTGGAACTGGGCCTGGGATTCTGTATTTCTACCAAAATACCAAGGAAGGTGGATACTGCCAATCACAGTTTGTGTCCAAATGATAAAGCCCCGTCGTCCAAACTTCAAGTAGCCTTGACACCCAAGAAGCATTTCCAAGGCTCACGGAAGCTCTGCAAAGCTACTAAGTCGACATCACGTAGCAAAAAGAAAGGGGCTGAGGGCTTCCCTGGTGGCGCAGTGGTTGAGAGTCCATCCGCCTGCCGATGCAGGGGACAAGGGCTCGTGCCCCGGTCCGGGAAGATCCCACATGCCGCGGAGCGGCTGGGCCCGTGAGCCATGGCCGCTGAGCCTGCACGTCCAGAGCCTGTGCTCCGCAACGGAAGAGGCCACGACAGTGAGAGGCGGGCGTATTGCAACAACAACAACAAAAAAAATTGTGTGCGCCTACCTTGCACTAGACACTCTTCTGACTGTAGCTTGCCTGAGTGAGTTTTAGTTGCGAGGCCTTGTAGAGGATACTTAACCTTTCCGACCTGAGCTTCCTTGTTCACATGGGGAAAGCTAAGGCGTCCCACAATGACCAGGCAGATAATGCAAGTGAACGAGGCAGGCCAGGTATAAGGTACAGGGAGTGAGGAGGGAGGCGGCAGACTGGAGGCCCCGGCCTTTCTCAGCTAAGAGGGCAGCCAGTGGCTCCACAAGCCCATTACTGCCACGTGGCCACATGAACCCAGGGCTACAGGAGCTTTCGATTCCACAAACAAAGGCAGAAATCCAGATGACTATTTTGTGAAATTTCCTCATTTTTCAAAGACAGCAGCTAACATTTTAATAGTACACATAAAAAAAAAAGAGAGAAGAAAAAGAACACTTGCAACCCGTGTAACACATTATGGCTAGGGTTACGCCACGGCTCAGGTCTGCGATTCTACAGGGATTCGAAAGCACAGAGAAGCTGCACAAGTGGACACAGGAAAACACAGTAGGTATCTGGGCAGTTAAGGGCTTTTGAGAGCGATTATCTTGGGCCAGTTCTGGAAGGAACTGGAAGACGGGGTGGAAAAGGGATCCCATCAATTCAGGACATCATGGTCAAAGGCTTACAGGCGGATGAAACAGGCAAGACACACCAAAGAACAGCAGTGAGGAGGGAGGAATCACACTTCTGTTCAGCATGGGAGCAGCGTCTGCTTCTAGATAAAGTGTACATAGGTCAATCAACGCTTAAGAGTATCATTAGTGCTGTCCGGTTTGACTTCCTAAAACATTACAGTCCCCAGGCATATCCAAAAATAAGGGACAAACTATCACCGTGGTGTGTGGAATTTTTCTGGTTTCACTTGTGTGTTTTGTTAAGAATCCAACTGACCCAATACGGAATTCCATCTCCACCGAGCTCTATAACTCTAACCAAAATACTGTATGAATGATATATACTGTCGTTTTTATATGGACTTATAGTATATATACTATAAATACACTCTATATACACATACATATAATACGTACGTACACGTATACACATATATATAAAACACAAGCTCTGTAACTCTAACCAAAATACTATATAAACTATAGATACTCTAGTTTTTAATATGCATTTATAGTACATATACTATAAAATACATACTATACATATACACACTACAATACATACACATATACTATAAAATATAAGCTGTATAACTCTAACCAAAATACCACGAACTATATACTATACTATAGCTTTTTAGGTGTTCATAGTACATATACTATAAAATACACGCATATATACTATAAAATCAAGTTCTATAATTCTAACCAAAACTCTGACCTCTAGAAATGAAAAACACAGCAACTGAAATTTAAAAGGAAAAAAAAAAAAAAAAAAAAAAAAACCCCACCAGAAGAGAAGACAGTACCCAAATAATCCAGAACACTGCCCAGAGGCAAAAACTATCTACCTAGAATTATATGCCCAGAAAAATTACCTTCCAGAAATGAGAGTGAAATAAAGATCTTTTCAGACAAGCAAAAGTTTATCACCTCTCTACAAGGACATGCAGAAAGATGCATTTCAGGCCCAAAGAAAAGGATTTTAGGAAGAAGGCTGCTTGATCTAAGAAGCAAGGGGGAGCCAAAATAATGGAGAACTTTGGAGTCAATGAAAAGTGAATGCTTTAAAATGACATGCAGGTCTCAAAATTAAAAAAAAAAAAAAAAGTCTGGCAACACCGTCACTTGCTTCCCACCTAGGCTTACTCGTTCACACTGGCTGTCAATCACCAAGGTCCTTTGCTGCAAACTTGATATGGAAGGAGGGCACCAGCTTGAAATGCAGATTCCTGCCCAGAGATGATCAATCTGCATTTCTACCAGATACTCCAGGGAACTCTGATGAAGTTGTGCCCTTGCCTCTACTCTGAAGAGTGCTGCGCCACTGCGGGGGGCCAGGAATCCAGTGAGCTCCAGGGGCTCAGCCTGGGGAGGTCCCGGCTGACACTCCAGCTGGCCTTTGATCTTTTCCACTTCGCTTACGGCCCCAGAGAGCACCTTGGCCCAGGGGGTCAGCAGCAACCCTGGCTCAACCCTGCTGGTCAGGAGCTGCAATAAATTAAAAGCCCATTAAAATATTTTAGAGAAAAGCCTAGAAGTGCTGAACCATTAATTGTGCCATATTCAATCTGTTTTCCCGGAGATCTGAAAAGCCAGATTACCACCTTGGGGGTCATTAGAAAGAATGAAGCTTTCTCCTTTTTCAATTTACATATATTTAAAAATGCAGAGATCCTTCCAGTGGCTACTACAACAGGCTTTCCAAGTCCGGCGGCGGCCACTCCCCACTCGGACCAAAGAGAAAGCAGCCTGGGGTGTCGTGGGGTCTTGCCTTGTGTTTTCAAGTAAGGAATCAAAACTCAGGGCCTGTGGTTGCAAAACAGCTCCGGGAAAACAGGTAGAGGCAGCCACAAAACAACAGTGCTGTTTTCTTGTTTTGTCCTCCCCTCTTTATTTTTCCCTGCAGCAATCCTTGCTCAGCACAAGTCTGCAGGGAGCTGGAAAGAGCAGCTGTGGTTCCCTGAGGCCAAGACCTAGCAATCAAGTTGTTTACCAAACACTGCCAGGCACCGGGAAAACAACAACAGCACAGGCAGCATTTGCATCTGTTTTTCAAAAACAACCTCCAAAGTCTGGGCCCTGCCGGGTACTTCCTGGCATGGCTCAGAGGAGCACTTGGAAATTAAAGGCATGAACTGCCTGGGGTATGAGCCCCCACGGCCTACATGTCATCCATTATTCCATTTCTTTTGAAGAGTGCCTATCCGAAAAATAAAAAGGATGGGGAGCGTGCAGAGTTTCCAAGCAGGGGATTCAGACAGACAACATGCCCGTCACTGGCATTTCCAAGCAAGATAATAGTGGCCATTTTAGCAAACTGGCATACTTTCCTGGCCATCCAACACCTCAGGACATCCAGCTGTGGTTCTCAACCTTGAGCAAGCACCAGAACGCCTGGGAGGGCTAAGAAAACACAGATTGCTGGGCCCCTCCCCCGGAGTGTCTCATTCAGTAGGTACAGGGCGGGGCCTGAAAATCTCCAGCAAGTTCCCACGTGATGCTGGTGCTACTGGTCCAGTCACCAGCTTTGGGAAGTAAAGCTAGATGCTTCCTTACCATCCTGAACACCTGGGGCCTCTTGTCCCACATTAACCTTTCCCGTGCATCTGGCAGTGTCATACCCAAAGGAGGTCACAGAACAAAATGGACCGGATGGTTTTCCTTTTGTTTCTCCAGATCCTCCATCTGCCATGCTGCCTCAACCCTCCACCTTGCTGTGTGTTTCTTGGAAGGCCCCCCTGCGTGGACGCATCAACAGGTACCCTTGTGTTCTGGCTTCCAGCTGGTACAACCAATGGAGGTCTCATCTCAGGAGGACAGAGAAGATGGGGCATTTATCACCGAGGCACCGGAGGTTGACTATGAAGGATCACAGCTCCTGCCGGGCAGTTCTCTCCCTACA